CAAGATTAGATCCTAAATTTAGAAAAAATAAAATAAAAATTCTAGGCTACCTCTCACCATATGTATTAGTTAGCTCAACATTTTTATAAGAGCTGCATGGGAAGACTTACCAAATCAACAAAGATGCTCAGCATTTCCTAGGTTAAGTTTGTATACATAAAATATTATTGGGCTTCCCTGGTGGCGCAGTGGTTAAGAGTCTGCCTGCCGATGCAGGGGACACGGGTTCGTGCCCCGGTCCAGGAAGATCCCACATGCCACGGAGTGGCTGGGCCGGTGAGCCATGGCCGCTGAGCCTGCGCGTCCAGAGCCTGTGCTCTTCAAAGGGAGAGGCCACAACAGTGAGAGGCCCATGTACAGCAAAAATATATATATATATTATTAATATAAATATTTCAGAAAATGCATGCTTTATGGAGGTCCTAGAGATTTGTCAATGACTTTGCTGTCCGTTTTTACCCTTAGGGAAAATATTCATCAAGCCAGTAACAAATACCCCTATGGAGAACTGTATTCTATTACTGGTTACTATAAGAAATTAACTACAGCCTTTCAGTCTCATTATCAAACAGGCCTTTGCTTCTTGATGACCAGAAGGCTCCTGGAAAAGACTGTACTAGGAACACTAAACTACTGACACCTCAGAAAACACACTCTTGAGTACAGGCTTCTGAGCTGACACTGCTGACGTTGAACAATGGACTGAGTCAATATTCCTAAGGCTTTTTCAGTCCAGAAGCTGATATACATCATAAAAGCAGACCCACCCAAAACCCAGCATGATAAGAATTACTAGGACTGAATGAACTGAATTAAATGAAATTTAATTACGTGTATTTATTTGAAATACAACTAGTATTATACATATATTTTTAACGTTTCATCCTTCTATACTTAATGAACATATGAAGTTCTCTTCTTTCTCTTCTTAAACTATCTCTACCCTCAATTTAGTAAATCGTGCTTTTCTAGACTGAAATATAACATCTTGAAATGATTATCTGCTTCTCACTGACCCTTTCAGAATTTAGAAATAGTTTTACTGAGTTTTACTTTTCAGGAATATTGTAATTTTCATTGGTTCAATAAGAATGTACACTCCTTTTTACCAGAATATAACTACACAAATCAATTGTGCAACCAAAGCCATACTTGGACTGTCTTATGTGAGGATGAATTTCATTCAATCAGTTATGACAAGCCTGCTGCCCACAAATACACACAGAGCCAATTCCTACATTGTGCCACCAGGGTACTGGCCTAGTGCCTGACTTACAAGGTCTCAGCATCACAGGTGGCAAGGTCATTTAGTAGTAGCCAAAAACCTTGGCAAATCTGAAAACCCTCAAGAAGAAAGAAAATCACCCAAATTTATAGGTACTGCAGGTGAAATTCGGTGGAAAATGTACTGGGCTTGGTTTACTGGCCTTGGGATAGAAGAACAAATAGTATTTTAAAAAGTCCAATCTAAGATTCCTTATGAAAACTTCTGGACAGAAATCAATTCTGTGGCCTTAGTAGCTACATAGTTGCTCAATTCTATAAGGCTCTGGATTTTCAGAGCAAACTCAAGGAAGTCTGTATGCCTAATTAACACTCTGACTGCACCTAAATATTAGGCCTAACCCTACGAGACCAGACTTTCTTTTAAAAGAACATACATTTGTAAATTACCAGGAGACGAGACCATCAGAAAATTTATCCAACACTTAGAAATAAGCCAAAAATAGTCAGTTGCACATCTTTTTAATATCTACGTGGGGAAAGGCCATTCAAGGATTGTTCAGCAGAATGTACTTACTTCATATCGTTGTTTACTACTGAGTAAAAGTCACAGACTTAGCCTGCTTCCTAACTTGACAAGGTTTTTTTCTAGTAAAGATGCAAACAAGGAAGTATCACTGAAGAGAATGGCTTGAGCAGTTGGAGAATTTCTTTGTCTCACGCGTCTCTGCTCCCACTTCCATTCTAGAGATGGAACAAAACCATCTCAGACTGATTTCAACCTACAGCCTACAGCAAAAATGGCCTCTGACCTCTGTTTTCCTGCTTCAAAGCTCAGAGAGTAGCAGGTTGTTTTTGTGTAAATAATTACCATTTTAAATAGGCTAACAAAACTTGTCATTTTGAAGGGTAGGAAAAAATGCTATTAACTTAAAAGAAAGACTTGCCAAATTTTTATTGTTTATATGGAATAATCTCAGATGGACGAAAAAACTAGAGTAAATCTCCATAATTTCTAGGATTACAAGAAAAATATATGTACACACACACACATATATATCGTTATGTACTAAGAATATTTATCCAACAGAAAAATCAAATCCATAGGGCTTCCCTGGTGGCACAGTGGTTAAGAATCCACCTGCCAATGCAGGCGACACAGGTTCGAGCCCTGGTCCAGGAAGACCCCACATGCCGTGGAGCAACTAAGCCCGTGCGCCACAACTACTGAGCCTGTGCTCTAGAGCCGGCAAGCCACAACTACTGAGCCCACGTGCCACAACTACTGAAGCCCATGCACCTAGAGCCTGTGCTCCACAACAAGAGAAGCCACAGCAATGAGAAGCCTGCGCACCACAACGAAGAGTAGCCCCCGCTCGCCCCAGCTAGAGAAAGCCCGCATGTAGCAACGAAGACCAAAAATAAATAAATAAATAAATAAATTTAAAAAACTAAACTAAACTAAACCCATAGATTATCAATGTACTTTACAGTATAATGTTACGGAATTTAACAGCAAGCATTTTAAAGTCCAAAAGAGACAAAAGAATAAAAATAAGCACAAGCAATGGAATATATCAGATAAAACTGTAATTAAAATATAGCACCTTGTACACAAACATTACTATCTGACCTTCACCACAACAGTACCGTCGGCTACCTGGTAGGAATATTCCTACTACTGAGTGAGGATGTAAAGTCACAAAGCAGTTAAGTAACTTGTGAACGTAATTACCAAGCTGATAAGTAGGACAAGCACTCAAACCCAAGTCTTCTCACTCCACGTTTTGGGCTCTGCCTAGTAGGCTTAATTGTGGAACATGAGGTAAGGAAAGCTTGAGGAATACGATACTACCCTACTCGATAGTACTTTTAACTCAAGCTCTCATCTTACCATATCTCCAAGTTGCTGCCAAGACCCTCAAAGTCCCCATCTGTGTGACGTTATCAGTCAGCTGATGAATTGTGCCAAGGCGGTGCTACCACAGACGCAGCCTTCCTCAGTACCTTGACATAAGCAGACTGGGGCCTCCGCTCTACAGTAAATTACAACCTGCTTGGAGAAACAACTCTAATGTGACATTATTCAGAGTACATTAATAAGGGTGCACGATGCACTGAAGGTGAGTGTAGACTGGGAGGAATCCCATGGACTATTAGGTCGGAGCTAGAAACAACAGATGTACAGACAGCAAAGCGGATGGATCAGAAACAGTCCTTAGGGGAAAAGTAAAACTGAATGAGATATAATACAACAGGTACACATTTAAAAATACATGTATACAAAACAATGATGGCTATTTTGCAGACACAGACAGAGATATTGATTAAAGACATTAGAAGGGCTGCCTAAGGATAGAGGGGAGTGGAACAGAAATGAGTACGAAGTGAAAAGAAACAAAGCAAGGGCTTTGCTGGAATGAAATATAATGCACCTCTTAAAACTAATGCAACTGATCTAGGGACTTCCCTGGCGGTCCAGTGGTTAGGACTACGAGCTTCCACTGCAGGGGGGCACGGGTTTGATCCCTGGCTGGGGAACAAAAATCCCGCATACGGCGTGCCCGAAAAAACAAAACAAAACCTTATACAACTGATCTATATGGACCGACATGTCAATGTAATCAAGATAATTTTTAAGCGACAAAAGCAAGACAGAGCATGGTATGTATACTATCCCATTTCTGAATACGCATGTCTCAGTGTATACGTGTGTATGTTCAATATGAAAAAGAAAGCACACCAAACCAAAAGCAGTGGTAATCTCAGGGACAGAACTGCAGGGGAAGACGGCTTTCCATCTCCAAACCTCTGAATAATTTTACAATTTAAGTTTGTAAAAAGAACATTTTATAAACTCTGCTGTTAGATAGGGGTAGGTTCAAACACCAACTGTGACTTTGGGCAAGCTACTTAACCTTAGCTTTCTTACCTATTAAATAGAGAAAACTACAGTACGCTAATTCAAAGGGGGATTTAAGAATTAAAAGAGACAACAAATGCAACACTCCTAGCACAGAGCTCCCTCCATTCTCCTACGTAATAGCCTGCAATTAAAATTAAGGATGGGTGATAATGAGAAATGCAATAGGAATTCAGAGAAAGAAAAGATCATGGAAAATCAGAGTACCTATGGAAAATCTAAAGAGGCTGGGACTTGAGCTGAGTTTTTTTAAAAATGGTAAAATGTTAGTCAGGGATGCGGAGGAGAAGGTACTACCAAAATAAAATAAATAATCAAAAAAACACACAGGAAGAAGAATGAGAGGTATAAACCTGTGTCCCAGTGCCAACCACAAAATGAATGTGCGATAAATATCTGGTACATCCATGAAAAAGGGTGCACACTAGGGAACAGGAAACAAGACTGTGTACGTAGAATAGCTCATATTTTAGAGATCCTTGAAATCAAAACGAAGACTGGATTTCACGCAGTTGCAGGGCAAGGCTTCTAGAGCTGGAGTTAACGGCAAAGCCACATTCTAAGATAAGGTGGCAGTAAGCCAACTGACAGCATACAGAGTAATCAATCAGCTACCCGCATAAAAATATAGTTACACACACACACACACACACACACACACACGACACAACGTATACGACACACACAGCAGCATCGCCATAGATGGAAACGAGACGGGACCTGAACTCAGGAGGGAGGTCACGAGAGCTGGAGTAGGCGCCCAGTTAATACTCGTAGTACAAACAAACAAGCACTGAATGAATTCTCAACAACACTTACGGAGTAAGAGCCAGTCTCCCACGTGCTAACTCACCTGGTCCTCTTGAAACAAAATGCCTTTCTGGGCATTTATTCGTTTAAACAGATCCCCTCCTTCACAGTAATCCATCACTATGTAGAGAGAGCCATTTTCTAAAAAATATAAACGTTACAGTCCATTTTTTAAAATGTACATCAAAAGCATAGCTACATTAAAGGTACCTAAAGGGTTTACTAAAAAGCAGCAATTAATTAAATACGTTGCACTAAACTAAAAACAGAACCACAGCCAGAAGAATTGAAGTGCAAAGTCAAGGTTTACTGGACGTACAGACTGTGCGGTAACTTGGGTTAACAGGCAACTCCATCATTAATGACTTTTCTGCCAAGAATATATCATCCCATTATCCACACTGACATAAACATCTCTGCAATATGGACAAAATGCAGACAGATATAGTTGATTTCATTTAATAGATATATTTCCTTAAACGTCAACTATAAAAATCACATTTTTCCAATCATTTGTCAGAGATGGGTAACCTTGGTTTTTAGCTGACCATTACTTTCCAGCTTTATTTCATCCACTTAATTACCTGTTAAACAAACAAAATAACAGATGCTGCGATGAACTGTCAGGACTCAACAGTGAGACAGTCTCTACTCTCCTGGAGCTCTCTTTGTAGTGATATATAATCTGTGAATGAACATGAAGATGGGGCACTTCCCTAATCACCTGTATGCCTCAGTCCACAGGATAAAAGACTTCCATGACCCTTCCTGTGGTAGAGAGGATGAGAAGAACACTTCTAATCCTTCTCTCCACCCTCACTCTTCCATAGGACTAAGACCACACCACTTCTTCCCAGGTAAGGAAGAGTGGCCAAGATCACCTATTACAGCTCAAGGAACAGCCTTCCCAGAGTTCACTTCTCTTGCTGCCTTGTGCTGATGGCCTTGCTCCCGGCACCTTGGATGGTGGTCTTGTTACTCGCGGTGCTCACATTCACCTTGTATACACTGCTTCCAATGTGCCCAGGGTTGGGAACCTACATGAATGAGCTGATTAAGAATCTGTGTAACTCTTTACAATTGATACGAAAAGATCATCCAAATATACATGTGAGAAATCACTGTGCGGAAAAAAAAAACAAACAGAAAACCGTACAATCTACTACTTATGAAAAATATGTATAGAATGTCACCATTTACATAGCATGAGAAACAAAAAGCCAAAAAAAAAAGTACCGTGTGCTATGATTTATGTATGCTTATTAACGCTCAGAACATTTCTGGAGGGAAACTCAAGATAGTGGTAAAACAGTGGGTACCTCCAGGAGGGAAAAACATGTGACTCAAAACTAGAAACAGAAGGCAAATTTTTTACTGTTATGTAACCTCTGAATTCTGTACCATCTGCATGTAGCAAAAATTAAATAAAACCATTACAAGGTTTTTTTAAAAAGGTGTGTGTGTTTGTGAGAGACAGAAACAGACACAGAGACAGGGAGACAGAGAAGGTTAAACAGGACCTGAGAAAGGAAATGGAGAAGCAATCCTGAAGAAAAATATCTGAGCTCTGCTATATTTTTTGCTGTTTAAACAATTGTCATTTATTTTGGGATAAGTACTAGTTAAAATGTAAGGTTAAAAGAAAAGTCTTTTCTGCATGAGGGAAATACTAATCTGTTTTGTATTCCTTCGATCATTCAAGCATCTGAGTGCCAACTATGTTCCAGGCACTTTGCACAAGATGCCAGGGATACAGAAATATAAGACACCACCCCTGTCACCAATGGGCTCACACAGTACTGAAGAAACACCCTCCAAAAAACCCCAACATAATGACCACCTAGAAACTGCTTGAAATTGAAGCAAAAAGACTGTAAGGCGAGTGACAAAGCCTCAAGGCATGTTAAAAACGACCGAGAGTTTAAGAGAGGACACGAACCACGACCTCTCAGCGAAGCACGCACTGCTGGCAGGCTAACCCTGTAATTCTAACACTTTTCTCCCTTCATCGCCTCTCACTTGAGAAGCTGAAAAAAATCCCAGATTCCCTAATTCCCAGTCTCCCCTACAGTTGGAGGTGGTCACTGACTCCATAACGGTCACTAAGATCTAGGAGGAAATCTGAACAGTGGCTTCTGAGAAAGCACTGGCTCGTCTGGTCACAGGACAGACAAGAGCAAGCTGCTGGTGCTGCCCTTGCCCCTTCTTTTGGCATCTTTTGGATGCAGGCGCTGCCTGGAGTTGCAAAGCGTCTTCTCAGGACAAGGAGACAGGATTAGGCTTAAAACCGTGCCTATTAAGGATGTCAGAGTAGAAATCAGACAGGGCCTAAGCTGCCATATACACCCTATACACAGGACAGCTCATCTTTCAGACTTCCTGTTAGGTGAGATCATTAAATATCTTTCTCACTTAAGCCAATACTGGCCAGATTTTCTGTTACCTGCAGCAAAAAGCAATCCAAATTTAGCCTCAAAGAAAAGCTTTCTTCAAGTACACAGAGAAGTTAGATTTTGGCAACACCAATGGGGAACAAGGTGAATGCCAACACAAGCTCCATAAGTGAGACTAAAAAGCTTCCATTAAAGATATAAAAGCTACTTTTGCAACAGTAAGAAGTAAAACAAACTTATGAGGTTAAAAAAACACAGACTGTAGGAAAATACAAATAAAAGAATGAAAGCAGTTAGAAGGTGATAGCTAGAGACAACTAAAAACAGAGAGCAATATATGAATAACAGTAGAGAAAACAGAACTGTATATAACACAGATACCCCAATACACAGTGACACAACACTTTCTCAATGATAAGGTCAAATTTTTAAAAATTTTAAAATGTTAGGAATATAGACAAAAATGTCTAATTATAATATTTAATATAATCTAATTATACATTTATATACCTGAAAATACTGTTTTCTCCCCACTCTCCAGTTTTACAAAACAATTTTATCTGAATTTTTCACATGTGTCATCAATATAAATGTCTTTTATTGATTCACCTATGTTTTCCCGATACACATGATCTTCATTTCCTTTTAAGTTAACTGAAAGAGAGCACTTTTAAAATCTGTTTATGTTGTCAGTGGAATTTTTTCTATGTCCTAATTCCCATACACATAAGATTGGGACCTTAAAAAAATCATCCTAGAGAGTTCATATGCATGATTGTCACAACATAACCATACTGCCTTTTAAGTGACTTTAGAAGGCTTACAATAGTATCTGCAATTATGACATCAGTATTAAATTTCTCTGATGCTTCTTTTTAAAACTGATTCTGCCTGAGGACCTCTATAAGCACTCAGAACTAACTCAGTGAAGTTTTCTTCCCCAAAACCACTTTGTTATTTAATGTATTTTAAAATTTGAGAACACATCCTGTAATACAAGACACTTTATAAGAAAGAATTCATCTGTAAGCTAAGACAACTTTATGACAAACAAATTTTGGAATATTTTTCCTTATCTTAAGATATATATGGATTCTTTAAAAACAGTGAAATGAAAACTTGCCTGAAACAAAGAAAAACCAGAATCTGCAGGCAGAAGGGGTACAAAATGTTCCAAGAGAGACAGAATCAGAATTATTAATACTAAGCCATATTCTGGTGAATTTCAATTCTAAAGAAAGAATCCTTCGAGCATTGAGGAAAGATAAATTACCTTCAAGAGGAGAAGCTTTATGCTGACCTCAAACTTTTCTACAGGAACATTCAATGCCAGAAGATATAATGTGATTGTAAGGGAAAAGGGGTCATCAAAGATATTTACTCACGTATAAAAGCATCAGTTAGACACTCTCAGAAATGCAAACAGTAACTGCATTGAGGGAATACAGCATCCATAAGCTTGTCATGAAAAAAAATTGATGAAATCCAGAAAAGTTGGAGATAAATTCAAGTATCTCTGGAAAGGGGTATCTAAGTTATAAAAGAACTAACAATAAGAATTGAATCTGTCTAAATATAGAACCAAGGCCAAACAACTCTAAGAATTATAATTTCAGAACAAAAGATAATATTAAATATTTTTACCCTGTCAAGATGAACAAAAATCAGTGGGGAGGAACTGTAAAGACACTAATTTCCTCACCTTTCATGGCAGACATTCAAAATAACAACAAAATTTTCACTTTTTTAACCAACTTGCTTATTTTTAAAAATTGAGAGATTTAAAATGTTCACATATGTAAGTTATTTTTAATCATTTTAGAGAAAAATTAAATATTTGTGTTTCAGAGCTCCCAAAAGCTCTATGAGAAACTAAGAGGTCCAAAGAGCTACATGATTAAAATGAGAAGATGGCTCAGGTGAGGCAGAAACAGGGACCAAATTCTATACCAAATGTATAGAATCACCAGACGAAACTACATCTTATAAATCTGAGAATGAACTTATAGGCCAGGGTTGGAGAGCTTGTGAGAAAAAGGAACTCTCATGCCCCTTAGTCTAAGGACTCCACTCCTAAAAGACTGCCACAGTACACAGACACCTGTACAAGGAGGTCCAGTGCAACACTACCTGTAACAGTGAAACACTAAATACAACCTAAGTACCCATAACAGAAAAGAGGCTAAACAAATTGTGATACAGCCATAAAGTGCATCTGATGGAAAACACTGCAGATGTTACAAGAAAGTTGTAAAGAATGGGGTGCATCAATACACAGTGACATGGAAAGATACCCATGAGAGACAAAGTGAAAAGAACTAGAAGCAGACATACATAGATACAATCCCACTTGTTTTTAAATGTCAAAGGCTACAAACATATGCCTGTTCCACACGGTCACAGAAAATACAGGAAGGAATCAATGTGGAATTATTCACATTGCTAACCCCTAGGGAATGAGAATGAGTGGGAGGAACAGAGAGCTTGGGGTTCATGCATGTCTGCACTCCTGAATACGTTTACCATGAGCATTTACTCCTTTAAAACTAAACGCCAGTAACAATATAACCTTATTTAAAGAACGTGCTATCCCTTTTGAATCATTCATATGTTTCTAGGTGAAGCATTCAACATAAATATAAAACGTCTGATAGAACATGTGTTGACATACATTCAAACCTTTTACCTTGAAATAGTAAAATCTTGGTGATGAAAGAAGAAACTAAAAGACACATGCTAAGGGAAAGATAAATAAAGAAAATTCAAGGTCCTGAGAAAGAAGAGATGGTTAACATTGTACTCTTTCACATGAGCTATAAAGCCTCATTTCACTGCCATCATAAAATAAATAAACTGAGTACTTTATGGCATAAGGTGTTAACGATCCATATACTTTTTAAAAGTATGTTCTACTTTACTAGATACCAAGTTTATTTGGGAACAAGGATACTTTAATTCAGCTGCTGAAACTGGTATGTAATGTGACCCTGAAATGGTCATTTAAACTATCTTTTACTTTCAATCTAGATTATCTTTCTATTTTGCAACTGACAGAGATTTATGATAATGGGAATGACTTCAATAAACCACCTTTTCCTGCCTTTAGAGAAGCTTTGTCTTATCTTAGTTCCTGCATTACCAAATATGATGGTAGATATTTCCAAAACAGCAATACTTTATAATATTTTAAGAACCTGAGAACACTCTCAAGCAGGATACTTTCTAAAATCAGAACATTTTCTCAGTGGCAGTGGTGGTAGCACTTAAAAGAAGTTTAGTTTTATAAAGGTGTAAATGACTGTTCCTCCTATGTCTAAAATGCATGCGTATACTTTTCTTCCTGAGAATAATTCACAAAAAGATCCTTAAAAGGGAAGTACACAACAGTTGTCCTAAGGCTTAGGAGTTCTTTTGAGCGCTCTTGCAAAATTTATCTGACCTTCAAATGATTCTCTATACTGGACAATATTTGGATGCTTCATGTTTGCCAGCACTGCAACTTCTCTCCTTGATTCTTCCCTTTCTTTACTGGACATCTTAAATAGAAGGAAAAAAGAAAAGAGTAAATTAAGTAAATAGACAACATAATCGTCCATCAAAAAGAGAGTGGTTAAAAATAATGCTACCGGGACTTCCCTTGTGGCGCAGTGGATAAGACTCCGCGCTCCCAATGCAGGGGGCCTGGGTTCAAACCCTGGTCAGGGAGCTAGATGCCACACGCATGCTGCAACTAAGGAGCCCGCCTGCCGCAACTAAGACCCAGCACAACCAAATAATAAATATTTTTTTAAAAATAATAATGCTACCAATGAAGCACAGCCCAAATACTAAAATATAGCTAGAAGTTAAAAAGAATAAGTTGAAGGCACAAATACAACAAAAACATTTTAAGATGTTCAAACCAGATTAAGTCACAGAACAGTGGGTGAGGTTTCTTTTTTAAACACATAAACATGAGCACACATCACAGAAAAAAATCTGAAAGGATTTACAGACTCTTCTGCAATTAGTGGTTGTCTCTGCGATTACGGCAGTCTTTCACTTTAGGTCATGCATTGCCATATATTTTTTTATTCTCTCCTGTAACCAGACTTCTACTTGGATGACCAAATGAAAAATATACTTACGCTTGAGATGTTAATTTCTTTGATAACATACTGTCTGCCATCTTCTATAGATTTAACGAGAATGGCTTTTCCGAATGAACCTTCTCCAATCTTCTGTACTCTAACATATTTCTCCATGGTTCTTTTTCTAAGGCATCTTAACAGATAGGCTAGATATTTAAAAAAAAAGAGTAACAGTTAATAGAAACAAAGCATGTCATCTATAACAATTATAATATTTAATTCAAATTCTATTCCTCAGTGATTTGCTTACTTAAAAAAAAAGATATATAAAATCTTTACTGAAGGTTAAATAAACTTTAACTCAATTTTAGTCATGCAACCTAGAGATAGCTAAAAAGAGAAAACCAGTGACATTTCAATCTTATAACAATACTTTGGAAAGTCAAATACTGTACATACTTAATGGAGGATGAAGCAAACCTTTTCCTACATGAACTAATTAATTAGCAGCATTACTTTACTACCTGCAATAAGAACACAAGCTTAGCAAGACTATTTCCCAAAGTTATTTACCTAATCCTCTCTTATTAGACATTTAGGCTGTTTACAGTGTTTGCTATTATAAAAGAACTTTAGATTAAATTTCTGTACATACATTTTTATGTACTCATTATAAAGATTTCCATAGTACACACTGTGAGTTCAAAGAATATGCACATGTTAAAGCTTTCAAACACACTGCTTGTCTTACAGAAACGCCTACTAGCTTGCTTGCATTCTGACCAGCAGTGAATAAAAATGCCTGTTCCTACGTACTCTTTTAACAGTGGTTATTATTTATTAAAATATTTCAGAGGCAATAAAGGGTAGTAGTCAAAGAGCACTAAAACCTTAGAGTCAGAGAGCCTGGGTTTAAATCCTGGCTTTAGCACTTATTTGCTATTTGACCTTGGACAAGTTACTTATCTTTAAGTGGCACAGTTTGTTCATCTGTACAATGTGGCCAACAACAGGACCTGCTTATAGAGCTGCTGGGAGGATTAGTCAATTTCATTAATGTCTAGAGAACAGTGACCTACAGACAGTGAGCACTGTGTCACAATCTGTTCTTACTGTTATTCGTTAGGTTGGATGGGGGGAAGCAGTGTCTCACTTTTTTTTGTAAGCTCCTTTGCTTACCAATGAATCTGAAAAATTCTTCCACGTTTCTGAACTGTTCCATTAATTCTCTTTTGAACTATTCATTCAGGTTCTTTGTCCATTTTCTACTGGGATAGTCTTCTTTATTGTTTTTTAATTGAAGTATAGTTGATCACAATACTGTGTAAATTTCAGGTGCACAACAAAGTATTCCAGATACATGTATACATATTTTCAGATTCTCTTCCACTGTAGGTGTTTACAAGATTAGGAATATAGTTCCCTGTGCTATACAGTAGGTTCTTGTTGTTTATCTATTTTGTATACAGTAGCTTGTATCTGCTAATCCCAAACTGTTAATTTGTCCCTGCCACCCGTTTCCCCTTCGGTAACCACAATTTTGTTTTCTATGTCTGTGAGTCTATTTGTTTTGTCAGTAAGTTCATTTGTATCATTTTTTAGATTTTACATAAGTGATATCTTATGATATTTGTCTCTGTCTTACTTCACTTAGTATGATAATCTCTAGGTCCACCCATGTTGCTGCAAATGGCATATTTCATTCTTTTTTATGGCTGAGTAATATTCTATTGTATATATGTACCACATCTTCTTCATCCATTCCTCTGTCGATGGACATTTAGGTTACTTCCATGTCTTGGCTATTATACAGTGCTGCTATTATACAGTGCTGCTATAAACATTGCATCCTCTTTATAGTTTCTAGTTGCTTGTTACAGTGACCTGCATTTCTATCAATAATCTTTCTTAACTCCTTCAGCATTTTTATTACCTCCTTTTCTGAATCAGGGTCTGGTAGGCTGGAGAGGTCTGTTTCATTGTTCCTTCAGGGGATTTCTCTTGTTCTTTTACTTTGGGATAGTTCCTCTGCTTTTTCATTTTAGTTAAATTTCTCTGACTCTAAGAATTTAAGAGAAACAGTTATCTATCGTGGTCTCACAGGGCTGTTTTTATGTGGGAGTGTCCCTGTGTAGACTGCGTGAGTCTGATATTTTTGGTGTGAAGGCTGTTTTTAGTGTGGATGCTTGCCACGTCTTTCCTCAGGGTGTGCTGGCCCTTGTCCCCTTGCTAAGGGGTGTGTCTGGTGTTGTGGTGACCAGAGCCTGCAGTTGTTACTGCGTGGGGCCTCTTCTCTGCCCTGTAGTTGTCACAGCCCTGTCGGGGACAGGGTCTGCTCCTCGGCTGTCACAGGCGAAGCCCCCAGATCCAGTTCCAAGCTGCAACACGAGGAGTGAGGGCCTGGAGCACAGGGAGACAGGAGCCAGTGTGTGCTCCTCCCCAGGAGCTATCCACCAGGACACGCAACTCTGTGATGCCACCCGTGTGCACACGCACAGACTTCACTGTTAGTGAACTAGTGCTAGTGCTGCCCTCAGGGGCCACCTCAGGGCCGCCATGGATGTCCCTCAGGCATGCATGAGTTGTCCCAAAACCCACGCACCACCAAAAGAGCCCTCCACCGCCACAGCCCGGGACCCGCTGTGGGAGGACCGGTGACTGGCTCTGATTTCAGCCCCGCCTCTGTGTGCATGCCCACAAACTGCACAAAGTCCACGGCAGCCAGAGCCATGCCCGCTGTGAGCATGCTGATAATGGGCTGCTAGGGCGGCCCACACCCCTCCCTTTATGCACTGACAACAGGCTCCGACGGCGGGCCCACGCTCCTGCTGTGCGCACCCCCAGTTGTGTCCTGTGCCACGCTCCAGGCCCATCGGGCTGTCTCCATGCACCCAACCTGAGTCCCCCCGGGTCTGTGTGCTGAAGCCCGAGTTGCAGCACCCAGTAGCCGCACACGCCAGCAGGCGCAGCACAGGCTGCAAAGGGCAGCGGCATGGCCAAGATGGCCTGTGCTGCACTCTCTCCGCCCTGCAGGACAGCAGGCCGGCTTCCACACTGTCCTCTCAAGCCTCTGAAGCTCCCTATCTGTCCCACCGAGCCTCCCAGCCGGTAAAGGAGGTCCCCAGAGCGAGGGAACATTTCCTCTTTCACAGCTCCCTTCCAGGGGGCAGGTCCCATCCCAATTCCTCGTCTCCCTTTTCCCTTTGTCCTATTTAATTACTTGGGGATCTTTACTGCAGCTTTGGTTGTATGAGATTTTCTGCCAGCTTTCAGTAGGTATTCCATGAGAATAGTTTCACATATAGATGTATTTTTAAAAATGTATTATTTATTTTTGGCTGTGTTGGGTCTTTGCTGCTGCGCGCAGGCTTTCTCTAGTTGCGGCGAGCGGGGGCTACTTTTCATTGTGGTGCATGGGCTCTCATTGCAGTGGCTTCTCTTGTTGCAGAGCACGGGCTCTAGGCAAGCGGACTCAGTAGTTGTGGCTCACGGGCTCTAGAACACAGGCTCAGTAGTTGTGGTGCATGGGCTTAGTTGCTCCGCAGCATGTGGGATCTTCCCGGACCAGGGCTCGAACCCGTGTCCCCTGCATTGGCAGGCAGATTCTTAACCTCTGCACCACCAGGGAAGTCCCATAGATGTATTTCTGATGTCCTTGTGGGAGGAGGTGAGTTCCACATCCCTCTACTCCACCATCTTCAAGTTCATCTTCTTTTCATTAGTTTGTAGAAGCTTCTTTAATGACTATGTTAGCCCTTCTCCAGTATGAATTTTTTTTGCTTATATGCCATTTGTCTTCAATTTTATTGAAATACAAACGTTAATTTTGATGTGAACAAATTTATTAACGTCTTCCTTATATTTCTGCCATCGGTATCACACTTAGAAACTTACTGTACCAAATACCATAAGATACTTGATTAAGGTTGTTAACTTCAGCAAGAGTAACTTCAGGAGAGTGGTGGAGACAGAAGCGAGAGTACAATAGGTTAGGTAGTGAAAGCTTAAAAAAGTGAAGGGAAGGGGAGGAGGATAGATGGAGGGAGGGGAAAGGAGAGAAAAAGTGTCCCAAAAGCAACCTCTAGAACTGCTTATTGGCAAGATCACACATACTGTGAAGATACATGAATTCACTTTGTTAATCTAAAAATAATAAATATTTAATTTAGGGGGGTGTGGCCAAGATGGCAGAGTAAGAAGACCCTGAGCTCACCTCCTCCCACAAACACACCAAAAGTACAACTATTTAAAGAGCAGCTACCTATAAGAACAACCGGAAGAACAGCAGAAAAGATTTTCTGCAACTGAAGATACAAAGAAGGAACCACAATGGGATGGGTAGGAGTGGTGGAGACCCAGTATAGACAAGACGCACAGCCATGGGCAGGTAACCCACAAATAGGAGAATAATCACAAATGCAGAAGTTCTCCCCGAGAAGCAAGGAGTTCAAGCCCCACATGAGGCTCCCCAGCCCAGGGCTCCTGCACCAGGTTGATGAGCCCCCAGAATACCTGGCTTTGAAGACCAGCAGAGCTTGCATACAAGAGAGGCAGAGTGCTGTAGAAAAAAAAGACTCTACTCTTAGGGGGCGCACACAAAATCTCACCCACTCTGAGATACAGCTCTGAGAAGCAATAATTTGAAAGAAGCTTATATCAAACCCACCTGCTAATCTTGGAGAGCCCCCTGGAGAGGCAGGAGGGCCACTGGGACTCCCCTGGGGACACAGACGCTCGCAGCAGCCATTTTTGGAAGTCTGTTCTTCCACGAAGACACTGATGGTACAAAAGCCAGCTTGGAGTCCTCCCTCTAGCCTATTAGCAACAGGAGCTTACCCAACCACTAACCAGATGGCAACAGCCCTGGAGGCCACCCCCTGGGGACCTGTAGTCAGCTACGCTAGTACCCAGCCCCACCCACCAGTGGCAGCCACCACAGGAGGCAGGACCTGACAATCAACCAGGCCACAGGGCAGCCCCACCAAAAAAGAAGGGCCCACATAAGGGACACTCCTAGAGCACATAGCTCTTGTGACCAAAGAGGAGTGTGCCACTGGGCCCCATAGGACAACGCCTACACAAAGCCACTTGTCCAAGATTGGGAAACACAACCGACCTAATTCATAGAAATAAAGATAGATAATTAATTCAGTAAAATGAGGAGACAGAGGAATACACACCATAGGAAGAAACAAGACAAAACCCC